CGGTTGCCACTGCGCCCATGCCCAAAGCATGTTGCAACCAAGGCAAAAACGCCTTCACCTGTACAGGAGACCTCTGCCACTGACTCTTTCTGTGGACGGCCGAAAGTTTTGGAAACGGAGCCTCTCCGAAATGCATGTTTTCCCATAGCGAAACCACTAAAAACATTCGAAATCAGTGACCCTCTCACGCTTTTCGCCCCCTGAAAAAAGTCCCCGAAACGCTCCGAGTCTGCCAAAACCCCAGTTTCAAGCACATTTCGAAAACGATGCTGCAATCCTGGCGTGCAAACCGACAGGGGTCACTCGAGGCGCTCTAACCTTGTTTTTGGAGTCCGGTCAAGTGGACCCTTGCATCCCAGACTGGTGAGCGCAGTACATTCTGGAATGGTGGCGTGGCGTTGGTCGTTTCTGTGCTAAGCAGAGGCCGGACAGACAAACGCACTCACCCACACCTACGCACCCATACACAAACTAGAATGAGCAAAGAGGAAGAGAGAGCCTCGCCATGCCTCTACCTCCGAAGAACCTGTGGTAGGGCTTGGCGTTAAACGCTTAACTCTCAAAGGTTCTTGCGGGTTTCAACGGCGCAGGACTTTGGGGTTGCCCAGATGCTATTGGGCTTTCAAGCAACCTATGTTCAAGACAACGAAGGTAGCACGGAACTGGAGGCTTCATATTGATTAGTTCAGGACCGGACATGCTCGTAGAATCAGAGCGCTGGCTTTCAATTTTGCTTAGCGAATGCTGTCATTGCAGTTGACAAAACTTAAAGTACCGGGCTTTGCAACTTATCTTCAGCCTGTGTGGTCTCATCACTTCATTCTCCGGCCAGGTGCCGGAGACAGATGCTCCAACCACGTGGAAGGCTCTGGACGCTTCAGATGCGAGGGTAAACGCAGTGCATGCCATGCAGTACTGAAAAACATGAATGTCGCCACTGCTAATGACAATGAAGCTCGCGACTCACGACCAGAAGAGTGCCGTCGCAGGGTAAGTGCAATTTTCCCTGGCAGGTGAGCTTCAGAGCCTTGCGCAAGGACGCTCGACAGACTGCCAGAGCTGGATACTGGATCAGAGAGACCTCACAAAATCTGCTGCGCCCTGCTCCAGGAGGAGACAGCAGCGAGCAATTGTCATCAGGACAGAAGTTGGCGCAGAACTATGTTTGTAAATGGACGCATGACGGCTGGGGTACGTGCTTGCGTTGTTGGGCCTTGCACAGCTGCAGCACTATATTCGAGGACGAGAAGGAGGACATCGAGACTTGCCGAGTGGTGGCACGCTGCCTGCGCCTGGGTGGCAAAGATGCACATGTTCCCTATGAGGACATTCCAAGAACGCATTTGCAGCTTTCATCCTGACCTGACACGTCCGAGTAAAAATTGCTTGCGGAGCAAATCGGACGTGCTAGATGACCGCAAAAACAGAGGGGGTTTTGAACTGCAAAACTGGATCCTGTCAATGCACCCATCCGTTGTTCCGAGTTCTTCTTCATGGTCGCTGCCTGACATCGACCCCGAGGCCATTACACGTCTGCGAGCTTAGAGGCTTAGACAGAAGCAAAGTGTCGGTTTCAGTGTCCACGGCCCCAGCTACTGCCCTTGTCAGAGCTAAAGCAACATGTCAATGTTACCTTTTGACGAGGAACCCCGCAGTGCGTGCAAGAGAGATGGACCGTTCAAGCGTATGTTGAGCCTCGGCAACGGACATTGAGACATCAACCAGCATGTCAGTTGCAGGGAAGCCCGTTGACCCGGCTCTCCTGCAGATTTTTGTTGTGTTGGGCTGCCATGCTGAGGAACAGCAACATGGCCTATTCTATCCTTGGTGCAGGAAGAAAAAGTGGCGAGCACCGTGCCGTTCCTAAAGTATTGACACCGTGACATCGCTCTGCGAGAATTCGACATGAAGGAGCCGAAGTATTTTCGAAGTTGGCCAGGTGACTTCCAGTCGCAAGCCGATCTCCACTTCGCAGACTCCCGCGTTGTCAAGAACGGCTCTGAGGCAAGGCGTTAGCTTGACTCGAGCAATTGCATGGAGAGGTGCTTTGGTTGCGGAATCGGAATGCGTGACAGGTTCCACCACACATCTTGGGCCTTGCAATGGCTGTCAATCAGAGGACTGTCGACCCTTTCTGCATTGCCGGGACTATGACTCCTCGAAGACAAAGCCAGACATCACAACAGTTTACCAAGCTTACAGTACTAAACTCCCCTGATGGCATCAAATCATTTGCTTACTTCTGCATAGTCTTCAGAGTAGGTGCAGCTGTGCTGTCGGCGTAGACATGCTTAGAAGCCAACGACGTTGAGCATCGAATTGATGTTCTTCATTGCCACCTGACATCACCTCCAATACCTGGCTTCTCGCACTTTTCATAACCACCAGGTGTTGGCGACTGCGCTTGTGTAGCCGTTGTTGACGATCCTCCGCCACACGGGAGGCTCGATCCGAGTTCCACATCATCTCTTCGATTCCTGAAGGCCCGCGAGAATTGCAACTCTTACTTTCAACATCCCGCAATAATCTGGGTATTAGCGCCTCGCGCCTCTTGACAGCGCCTCGCCAGGCCTCTTCGACCTCATTGAAATGAGCCTTGCAGTAGAAGCAGACTCAGAGCGCGAGAAGACTGGAGGGCCCTTTAAACTAAAGTCGTCGCGAAGAAGTCCGCCATGCATGACATGAGAGCATTCTAGTAGGTGGATTTCTTTGAGGGTCCTGAGGTGCCGTGTTTAGAAAATGACTTTCAAAGTTCGGAGGCCGTTTCTTCGCAGCTGGACGTGCAACTTTTCAATGCCTCTCTGGACTCCTTCCAGCCGCAGGCGCCGCAGGGGCCTACTTAAATCACGTCAACTGCGCATGCGTGAGACTGCATCCAGCTGCTTCAGGCTCTTCTGCATCCCTTCACCTTCAATGCATGTTGCATGATGTCGCTCAGCTGCAGACCGAGCTGCCGGTTGTCTCAGACAGAAACACCCCACACGTGGCAGGAACATGCTGCGAACAGAGCTCTTGCCGGAACAATGCTCCAAGCCCTTCGACGACATGATCAATGCCGTCGCCAGCATCAACAAACTGTCAGACTCAGTGGAGGTGGGCTTGGAGAATGAGCATTTCAGAACTGTATGCATCTCTGCAGAAAGGCAGGACAGACCTACATTTTCGAGCCACCCCGCTTTGCAGCACGTTATGCAGATAGTCAGGTCTAAATCGCTTGCTGGAGCTGTGTAAGTGTAGTTGTGCTGGCATGCGGCATTGCATGTGAGCATTCGTGAATTATGGCCCTGAACTGCATAGCCATGTTTGCGGGCGGTAACCTTCCTGTAGCACGTCACCTGCTCGTGAGCAGGCAATTCCAGCCGACGCCCTCAAAGCCAAATTTGGCAAGGAGCCAAGCCAGGTGCGACCAACCAATCCTGTCTTGTCGTCAGGGCGATGTAATGTTATTTACGGGCTGCCGCCAGTG